AAAAAAAAAAAAAAAATAAAAAAAAAAAAAAAAAAAAAAAAAAAAAAAAAAAAAAAAAAAAATTGCCTTTTACGCTTTTACGCTTATTTACGCTTTTACTCTTTTACGCAGCAACCAGTGAGCGGACCCGCTAACTCTACCAACGTTGCTGAGCCAGCTTAGCTAGATTGGCTATTGCCTCAACCTACCACAGTCATGTATCTCTTAAATTTATAACACGACAACATGGATGCCAGGTCCCTGCAGGGTTATTACGCTACATGCCTTCCTTAGCCGTAAGAATAAGTATTGCAGGGACTGGCAACTACCAGTCGTTCAAAAATGACCTCGCAGTCTGAAAGTGTACAGCATCCTCGGGGCAGCCCCCGACTCTTCTTGCAGACCGGGCACCGCCGAAAAAACCTGGCGCAAGCTGCGACGCAAAAAAAGCTGATGGGGGTTGGGCATTGGAGCCTATGCTTTAGCGTGGAGCTTGAAGAACAACTGAGAAACTCATGGGGCGTATGAAGAAAAGCATGTGCCAGCTGATGGTTTCTGCTTCCCGCCACATTCTCTGGAAAGAGATGTGACAGGCTGCCACAATCAGCTCCATAGCTGCGGGGTGATTTTTTTGAATAAACACATGAAAACACATTCGCAGACCCAGGAGAAGCATAGAGACGCGACACCAAGTGCAATGTAAGATCTGCAAAGCTTTGAAACTTCTACCAGAAGGACCTAAACTTCAAACCCTCGGGCTGCAAAGCCGGGCAATCTAAGTACATTGCCGATAAGCTTGTGACAAACGCCCTTCCAAGAGCATAAAGCCTGAACCAAGCCAAGCTACACGGTTGGCCCGTCATGTATGGGGGAGTGCGGGTCTCCTTGCGCCACCATCAGGACCTACCGCATCGGTGTCTTTGCCCAAGGCTTCTACTCTTTCCTTTTGGATCCAATGTGTATTCCAGACTAAAAGGCGCACCTGAACACTGTGGCTGAACTTTGCTGGCGCCTAGTGCGCTCAGAGGACATATATGGAACTCGGTGAACCGAATGTCCAAGTACGTGTCTGTGAACATAAAGACATGATGCATGAGCCAGCCTAGTCCAGCTTACCAGTCAAGAATGAGAACATACATGGGAATATATTGCGTAATATAGGGATAATGGAGAAGTTACTATAATGGGTTATATAGGGATAATAGGGTATATATTGGGGTTATATTGGGGTAATGGAAAATAAAATGGAAGCTACTATAATGGGTTATATAGTGATAATGGAGAAGAAAATGGAACCTACTAAATAGGGTATGTGCCCTAAGGGTCCAGGTACCTAAGCATCATATACTTACCCAAAACTTGTACAATAGCTCATATTAGCTAAGCCCCAGGTACCCAACATTTGGGTATTTGGACCCTCTGGGTTGGGGTTAGTAGGGAATAGATCAAAGAGCTCAAAAGGTGGGATGAAGGAAGGTGGGTTATAGGAAATAGGCCAAAATATAGAAGAGTTAGAAGAGTATATACTAAGGACACTCTAACCCACCTGCCTTCATCCCACCTTTTGCGCCCCTGAATATAGTTAGCCTCAGCAGCTTTTGCCAAGCCGTGGACGACTGTCACCGTTGCCCTGGGAAGGCAGGATTTGAGGGGTGGGGCTTGCAGCCATGCGCTTTAGGGTTTAGGGTTTAGGGATTAGCGTTTAGGGATTAGGGTCTAGGGATTAAGGTTTAGGGATTAGGGATCAAGGTTTAGGGATTAGGGTTTGGGGATTAAGGACTAGGGTTTAGGAATTAGGGTTTAGGGATTAGGGTTTCCCGAAATTAGGGATATCGGGGGATATTGGGGTTCTATAAGGGTATATAGGGGTATGTTGCAGCCAGGCGCCTAAGGGTTTCGGGCTTTGGGGTATACCCTAAACCTCAGACCCTAAACTTAGGGTCTAGGAGCTTCAAGAGTAGGGTTCGGATTGTGGGATCCCTGACCAGGTTCTGGAACTAAACCCTAAACCCTAAACCCTAAACTGGAAGTGTTTGCTGTAGGAAAACGTAGATGGTCAAATGAGGGAGCCAAGAGCTAAAAACACAGTGCGGATTCAAGATTCTAAGTACTTTTTGGAGGGACCCCTAATAGGGGCCCTGGTAGCTTATGGGGGTTGATATGGGG